GTTGCTAGTACTCAGTATGTACATTTATTTATTTATATGTCGCGCCTACATTTAAAGTTATAACACTTGTACCTGTCGACAACAAGACTACACTAGTATGACAAGTACTAGCCTATTGTGTAGTGTATACGGCCAAAATTTAGGCCTATCAAGTTAGTTTCATAATACTGTACCTACACCACTCCAATAATTATTATTAGGCCCTTTTAAATAATTATTGGAGTGGCACAGGTGTAGGTATTATGAAACTAGCTACACACACAATAGGGTGTTCAATATACAAATCTTTATACTCATGGTGTTTGTCTTTCGTTTTCCATACATTTACTATTTTACAGTGCAATACAATTTTAAAGTCATTAACCATTAAAAACCATGGTGGTGGTGGTGATAATGATCGGTGTAATTTACCATTGATGTTTCTATTACAGTCGATTAAAAGGGATACCTTAATTCAAACTGTTACAACACTGGGAAACTGGCTTGAAATTAAGCTGCAATTCTGTCGATATTTTTTATTGTAGGAAATGCACAACACAACAAGGAAATGGTTTTAATTATTATCAACTGTGATTTGTTATACAGTAGTTTCGATTCAAGTGTGCAATTGTTATTATGCCAAGTAATCCTCTATTGTTTGTTAGTTTTGTTATTACACAGACGATACAAATGTAAATATAGAATTACATATACATTATATATATATATATATATATATATATATATATAAGAGTGGACTTGCATGTATGTTCAAAAACAATGAAAAAACGATTAGACAGGTAGAAACAGATGTAAAATACGTAATGAGTGAAACAAATTTCAAAAGTTTGTTTTATTGCTTAAATATGTTCTTTTGCTTGTAACAATTAGCATATCCAAAATCTACATTGATTGGCCTATACTAAATTACCTAATTTGCATAAATATATTGCGAAGAGGAACATTCTAGGCTTGAAATTGCAGATACAAAAAATACAGATAAAAATACAATAAATATATAAGACATACAAATGCAAAACAAGTAAATAATTAATTAATTAAATTACATTATGTACTTGGAATTGATAACATTTACAAAAATATTGCAAGATGAACATCTTAAGCTAAAACTACAGATAAAATATACAGATAAAAATACAAATAAATAAGAGTAATCATACAAATACAGACAAAACACTGAACACAGGTCCAACAGAAACACAAACAGAACAGGGCAATCAAAAACAAAGCCAGACAAACAGAAAAGAAAAATAAAAACACGTAAAAATACAGACAGAACACAGAACAAAGGTGAAAAAAAAAGAAATCACACACACAAAACAAAACAATCAAAAACGAAGACCAAGGAATTCAGGAATTAAACCCACCCAGATAATAAGTCACTTGGTATTATAAAGTAAAGATTGCGATAACCTGGTTTTGAATGAACTAAGGCTCTGGTGAAAAATATCGATTAACGTAAAATTATGAGAAAGGGAATGAATAGAGCATCAGAAAATAAAGGCCACAAAGTACTCATACCAACAATTAAAGAGGAAGATGGCTCTGTAACAACAAATAGAGAAAGAATATTAGAGAGATGTGCAGTATGAGAACCTATATTCCACATCAAACATCAATAAACTAGAGGCAAAGGCAGGGGAGGAAAATAAGCCCGAAATAATTGCAAGTGAATTTGAGTTCGCTTTAAAGCAAACTAAGAATGAGAAAGCACCAGGAGATGATGGAATTCTATATATGGAGGAAATGACATTGTGAAACTGCTAACAAAAATATTCAACAAAATCAGTAAAGAGGAAAAAATACCGGGAAAATAGAAAAATGCAATAATAATATTGATTTTTAAAGGAGACAGGAGGAATGTTGATAACTACCGGCCAATCAGTCTTCTGTCTTAAGTTTTAAAATTATACATGAAGATCATTAAGCACAGAATTACACACACTCTAGAAGGAAACCAACCTCCAGAACAGGCTGCATGCAGAACAGGGTTCTCTACTATAGAACAACTTCATACTATAAATCAAGTGTTAGAAAAATCAAACGAGTACCAGATTCCTATGTACATATGGCATTTGTGGATTACACCAAAGCTTTTGATTCTGTAGAGCATAGGGCTGTAATAGACACCCTGCAAAAACAAGGTGTACCACAGACTTATATCAACATTCTGATAAGTAATTATAAAGGAGGAACAGCACAGGTGAGGACAGAAAAAGAGAGCAGAAAGTTTATGGTTCAAAAAAGAGTAAGACAGGGAGATACACTGTCTCCAGTATTGTTTACAGCAGCACTGGTGCAGATTTTTCGAAGAATAAATGTATAGGGCAAAAGTCTAAGAATAGATGGAGTATACCTCAGTAACCTCAGGTTTGCTGACGATATTGTTTTATTTGGCAAGTCTGAACAAGAACTCCAGTCCTTACTTGATGATTTAAACTATGAATGAAAGAAAGATGGTCTAAGTATAAACAGGATGAAAACAAAAGTCATGTACAATGAAGTTGGAAAACAAAGAAAACAGAAAGATATTAAGCTTGATGGAGTAGTCATAGAAGATGTTGCCGAGTATGTATATCTAAGTCAGATTCTCACACCAGATGGAAACAAAGAGAAGGAAATTGACAAAAGATTAACGGAACGACGGAAGAGATTTGGCCAGTATGGTAAATTCTTGAAAGAGAAACCCAAGCCCATGTGCTTAAAACGTAAATTCATAAATGATGTAATTTACCAGATATGACCTACGGAGCCGAGACATGGACATTAACACGAACTCTTACACGGAAAATGGCAGTGGGGAAAATAAGCATGGAGAGGTATATGTTCAACATCAGTATACTTGACAAGTTGAAAAATAAAGAAAAAAGGCAACAAAGATTAAAGATGTATCTGAAAACTGTCTATAACAAAGTGGGAATGGACAGGCCATGTAGTTCGCATAGACCAACAATAACAGGTGGGCCAAGAAGTTAACAGTATGGACGCCATACGGACACAGAAGAAAAAGAGGAAGACCTAACAAGAGATAGAGTGATCTTTTCCAGAAGGAGCTGGGTGCGAACTGGGCAAATCTGGCAAAGAACAAATCAGAATGGAGTTTGAGGAGGCCATCGGCCAGCAGTGGTCTGACAGGTTGTTGTTGTTGATGATGATGATGATAAGAATTAAAGGTTATTAAAAAAGTGGGCAAGACGATGAATAAAACCATTTTTAGTGCAATTGACTCTTAATAAGGGAACCAAAAATAGGTCGTTATCGACGGGAGCCGGGTCTATTAATCTTAAGAGGGAATAAAGAACATAAAGCAGTAGCAAAAATAGAATTAACACATTTAAAAAGTAAAACCATAATCAAATATCTCCTTTCACTAAGTGAGGGAAGAGTGTATGAAAAAATATCGTCATTTTTAAAATTGTGATGTATAAAATATAAAAAATTAGACTAGACTCTCTCAATCCGATAGGCTTGTAAGACAAAAATAGAATTATAAATAACACTGGAATAATCAAAAATAGGTCTAACTAAAAAATGTAAAGATGCACTTTGATTTTTTGGTCAATGGATTTACAATGACGCCAAAATACTCCAAGCAACCGGTTGCCTTTGCTGACAATGTCATCAACATGATGGTTGAAATTAAGTTCAGAATCCAAAAGGATACTAAGATCGTTTTGTACAAAAACTCTGCTAATAGAGGTACCTAATGTTATAGTTAAAAATAAAAGGGGATTTTTTAAGAGTAATAGTCATGACTACACATTTAGTGGGATTGAGAGAGACCAATCAACAGACCATTTACACAGCCTATTAAGATCCTCTTGGAAGGCTAAGGCATCATTTATATTCGTGACCCTGTGGAAAAGCTTCAAATCATCAGCAAACATTAAACAATGTGAATTTTGAAAAATAGAAGGGGCATCATTAATGTACATATTAAACAAAAGCCGGCCTAAAATTGAACACTCCGGATGTGACAGGCAACCACTCTGACGCAAGCTTTATAATTTATTAACCCTCTGTTATCTGTTCTGTAGGAGCCACTAATCCAAAACTTCATAGCCTTGTAAACTAAGAGGTCATGACAGACAGAATCAAAGGCATTAGAGTAGTCAGTGTACACTACGTCACGTATAGGCATGTGATAACATAGTTGCCAAATTTGTCTGTTGCTTTGGCGAGACAGAACGGGGTACAAAATGAATGTAAGTACTATCAAAAACTATTTCCCCCAACATTTTGGAAAGGGTTGGAAAAATTAAAATATGTCGAAAATTTACAACAGAATCGCGAGTTCCACCCTTATGGATTGGGCAGATATTAGCACGCTTCCAAGCAGAAGGGAACACACCAGAGAAACTTAGACCTGAAAATATATATATTTATATACATATACATATATATATATATATATATATATATATACTATATATACACTCTGTATATACACTGTATATATACTATATATATACTGTATATATACTGTATATATATATATATTATATATATATATATATATTTTTATATATACTATAAATATGGATAAAACTGAGATACTTCGAACTAACCCATGAGGCCCTATCACTTGTTTGAGATCCAGACTGGAAATAGTAATAGTAATTAAGCAATATATTGTTATTCACTTGATTATTTCTGACGTCTGTGTATTCTATAGACATAAAAACTACTGTGTATCATGAATAATCTTTTTTTTTTACACTTTAATGTTAACGTAGGCATATACTGTATATGTACCTTTGATGATTTATATTATATTTATTCAACAGTGTTAACGGCTAACTTCCTTCAATATCATATATATATATATATATAATATACTACATATATACTATATATATTTAACAACACATCAGCAAATAGCACAATTAAGTACGCATGCACAAAGTATAAGTTCGTTGAAAAACGAATTATTATCTAAATATTAAGCTTTTTATTTGGGGTTCTATGTATACATTTGATTTCATAGATTTCATAGTTAAAGGCAACATTTTTCTGAGTACTGTAATATATTAATGTATAGTACGTTGCAAATTCTGTATGTTATGATGAATCCTGACATTATCCCTGACTATTACTCAATAAAGTTCGTCCCTAACTAGCTAGTAGTTCAAATGATGGTCAGAGATCAAGAAGTCAAAGTTTACGTCGAACAGTGAATAGTTTGTCTCAATATAGTATATCCATATGCATATGCTATAAGCCTATAGGAATAAAAAGCTGGCCTGTATTGAAATCTCTTAAAATTTAATTGCGAATTGATGTTACAAGGTTACAATGCAGTTTTCATGTCTGTATTAGATTCAGTCATTAGTTGCTTATATTCTGAACTAGTGTAGTTTTAAAATTAAACACGATATGTTTTTTGTGTTTACTGTGTATAAATGTTAAAAATACCTTTACTATATTGTAAATTGACAGATTTGAAATTAAATAATAATACAAAAAAATCGAAATACTGTATCTTGTATTTTCTAATCATCATTTACATGGTGATATGCTCATTTCTTTTCCAAAAGCCTACTGTATCATCCTGAAGGCTTTTAAATTTCAATTAATTTCATTGCTACCAAATCTAGGTCTGCGTAGATAGTTGCAGAATCGTTTCTGATTGGAGGTTTGCTGGAATTATTCACTTTCGCTGACTTATGGTCGATGTCAATGTATATCAACTCATTCTGTTTAAATAATAAGGAAATGGACGATTATTTTATCGTTTTGTGATTTGATTTGTGATGAGTTCTGTATTGTCAGCCCTCTACAAGTCCAGACTGTAAAAATCGTGGAGCATTTAAAACACAAAGCTCCACGCAGTGTTGTCCCGTCATGGTGGCACGTTTAAAAACTATACGTATTTAGGTCCGGCCTAATGTGTTTAGTTTTCTGATGTGTTTAGGATTAGATGTGCTTAGGTATTTGACATCATGATGTCAAATACCTATGCACATTTAATGTTAGACACGTCAAGATCTATAAGCACATTAAGCTATATCTAAACTAGCTTTTAAACGTGTCACCAAAAACGAGGACAACATTGCGTGGAGCTTTGTGTTTAAATTTTGCTTTACGCTGTTTTTACAGTGTAGGTATTGTGACACAATAACAGAAAACTATAGTATAAAACACATTTACCTCATTTTTTGGTCTTCTTGGATAAGTCAGAATGATTGATTCAGGTGTCTGATTTGTCACTCTTGTTGAGCTGGGATATATTTGCGGTGTCTGTCGCAAGTCTTGATTTCTAAATTATTGTATCAAATCATTATTTTTAGAGTGATCCATTTCAATTTTAGGTAATTCTCAGGCTCTTAGTTGTTTATTTGATTCATATTGTTAATGTCATTGTCAGAAATAATAATTTGAAAGTGGCCTACCTCTGAGACCGATGACCTATTGTGTTAGAAGGACCTGCGTAATGAAGAAGATTTGTATAATACTGCTGTAAAAATATCAAGTTAGGTCAGTAAAATGATTGAACCATCAAAGTAACATTTTACAAAGGATCAAATTGTATGATGCCCCGGGTGACCCGCCGAACTGACCAAGCGGCTAGCCAACAGGTTATGGAACCGATTGTATCAAGCATTAAGAGTTCAGCAGTTCATAGACCTGTTAGTTATCTTGGTGAATCAAAGAATATATGTATAAGCCTACCAAGTAAATCAGTTTAATATGTAGCTTTGTGTCAAGCCCATTTTATGCAGGAATCAGCCTACATAAATCATTTTATATTTTGTATATGCTGTTTTGAATTGAAAACAATGAGTTATAAAATGCAAATATTCATAATAAGTCCATTCAAGTAATACAATAACGTTGAATACGTTTTTTTTTTTTTAAATTTACCACGTTTTAATTTACATGCTTGCTTAACTCGAACTTTATTTAATTTAAAGGTTCAGGGATATATTTTATTAATGATTTTGATATGTCGCTCTTTTATGGCTGATTTTAGAAACATTAATAGGCATAATATCCTGAATCAGTATGATAATTTTAGGTTAGGTGCATATGTAAATAATTGCTCAGCGAAGAGTAGATTATACCCAGGTTTTAGTCCTAAAACAATAGTTTTTGTCTTACCTGAGTTATTACTTGAGGAAGCAGTTTGTGACCTAATCATATGTTCGCTCTCGTTATCGTATATATTTTCACTTTTACTAAAAATTAAAGACAAAAACTCAAGATATTTGTAACTTATTTCGGTCTGAAGAGCTTTCTAATAATGGTTATTAAATAACAAAGTGAGTAAAAGTGAGAAGAAAATAGCTTACTCGATATTGAGATTTCCAATGTTAGTGCCTTAAAAAGAGAAAATTATATTTATATCTTACATTGTTACAAAAAAATGAAAAGACATTCTGAAGTTCAAATTAAGTGGATTAACTAAATTAAACTAGAATTGTCTTCACAATTTTAAACGTTACATTGGTTCTTGACACACCAATATCAAGAGTCATGACTGTGCAAAGCTAATTAATTGGCATATTATATACGCTTTGCTCAATAGCACAATGTCAAAATTTTGTAAATTGGAACTACAGAAGTTACCTTCTTTTTTAGTCGTTTTACAAACTACTACTGCTACTATTATGCACAGAAAAACTGTAGTGAATGTGCCAGATATTACCGAGACTAACAAAGTCGTTGAATTCTCTGGTGTAAAAAATAAAATATGCATTTACTATAGATTAACAAACTCTTACTATTATAGTTATTGTTCTACTATTATACTATTATTACGTTATACTATTATTACTATTATACTATTGTTATTGTTTATTAAAAAGTCATAGTTAGACATGATGAAATTATAAATAATAGATGAACAGACAGCAAATCACAATAACAACACCACCACAACAACACCACAACAACACCACATTAAAGCCGGCCACTCACTGCGCCCGATGGTCGTTGGCCGACGCGATTCTATGCAGAACACACCGCGACGACGTGCGCGCAACGGATCGTTTTTATTTAATGACGATTCGTTCAGACTGCCACCGAAAATCAGCAGACGGCGTTGCATCTTCTAGCGGAGTTAGATTGTCGTGCGACGGTCTCGTACTACCGTCGTACGACGTAGTTAGTGACCGGCTTTAATGACCATAATTATGAATAGATAATAGATTGGAGACGTAGGTAGATATAAAAGCTCAGTCGAACTACCTCTTGGGCTCATAACAGTGTCATCCCCCGTATTCTTGAAACACGTCGTCTTACACTCGCTTGTATATGCAGGCGAATCAGTGGTCTTTGAGCTGGTATAAATTATAACAGATTCAGTTTTTCCCTTTTCATTTTTACCATATATACCAATCATAGACAGAGCGCTTATATCCAAGTCTTCAATGGTAAAGCAAAATGGTGGAGATTTATCAGGAACTGGCAATGTTTGGTTCCCAATTATTTCCCTGTCAGTGTTTTTCCATTCAACTATATATTGTGTCTGGTTCTCAGAACCTAGTGATGGACTCCACTCAAAAATGATTTTGTTTCTAGTCAACTTAAGAACACTTATGTTGACTGGTTGGCGTGGAAGACCTACACAGAAAAAAAAAGATTTATAATTCCCAATACATTTACGTTCCATTTCATCGATATGTGCACCTTACATGAAAATAAATAATTAAATAAATAAAATAAACGAAGATTTCGACGTCATAATAATAATAACAACAACAACAACAACAACAACAACAACAACAATAATAATAATAATAATAATGATAATGATAATGATAATGATAATGATAATGATAATGATAATAATAATAGTAATAATAATAATAGTAATATTAATATAAATAATAATCAAAATTAAATTATATCATCTTGTCTATGATGATTCCCTATAACAAAACAAGACAAATAAAAAACTTTGCTGTTGGCAATAACATTATTGGTAATACATAATAAAACACTGCATAATATCAAACTATTAAGGCAAATCAGGACAATATTTAGAAATTTATATCTTTTTCAATTTTCTTGTAAGTAAAGTTAACTTTTTACCAAAGGCCAGGTGGCAAAAGTCTAGGTTGCAATGGGCCATGGGTAATCGTAATGACTTAACAATACCTACTGTTTCACCTACTGTTTACCTAAATATCCCAAAATTAATAATTGGCTACAGTACATACATGACACATATACATTGGTTTTGACGTTAGTAGAATTTCTTTCGTTGTCAGGATTAAGAGTGCAAACGTAGTGTCCAGCTTCGGTACAGGTTATATTTGTGTCGTTCATGATGATTCCGCTAGCAACAACTTTATCAGACTCTTCGTGTTTCCAAGTGTAAGAGGCACCAAATGGATAATTTGAAGAGCAATTTAAAGCAAGGCTGTCACCTTCAGTAACAGAATAGCCTAGGCTGAGCTTGGATTGGTGATAAAACTCAATTACGGCTAATGTAGAAAAAAAAAAGCGAATAGGCATAATTGTACAGTAATTATAATGTCCTTGTTGGACTTTTTGCACATAATTTAAAAGACTTGAATGAAAATGATTCCAAGTTTAGACGATAAAGCCTAATAATGTCCTACTGTGGTTAAAAACATTAGCCTTTACAATTTTATATAATGTAGAAGAAGAAGAAGAAGAAGAAGAAGAAGAAAGAAAAGGAGAAGGAGAAGGATAAGGAGGCGGCGGAGGAGGAGGAGAGTATATACAAATAATAAATAAATGAGGAAGATAATGATAACAATGATTCAAGATTCAAGCCAAACCAGTCACTCCGGCGTCGCAAATCGTGTTTCAGAGATAATGGCTAAAACAAGCTTAATTGTCCAACATTTTTTAAATCAATTTGTTGTATTAAACTAACTTTTACAAATCTATTCATCATGATATACTGTTATTTTTCCCATTTTCAATGTTAATACAACAATTTTTGACAATTTGGTGATGCTCCTGCCTAAGAAATACGCGAAATCATAAACTTTGAAGGTTGATTTCTGATTTCGAAAATATTGTTCTTTGAACGGCTATGTTCATAAGGAAATGTCGGATTTAAAGCCCTGCATTCCCGGCAAGATTTCAGTTGTAGAAAAATTTGATTTGATTTATACGAAATCGCTAAATTAACTGAATTTAGACATTCCTAAATATGTACAACATGTAAAATAAGACTGAAATTTGATTTTTTTGTGTTCCACACAAAAAAATATATGCGGATGGATTTTTCATGTTTAATATTGCGATGGGTCGGCGAAGAAATATAGTATGCGCCGAAAACATTAGCCTATCCAAATTGCTAAGCTAGGCCTAGCCTTACCTCGATTTAGGTTCTCTTATCACACATAAAAACGGCCGAAAGGATATTTTCCGTTGCTGGTATTGACACTGTTTCATAGTAATTATTTCAAATCTGTTAAAAAAATTATTCTGACCGAGATTTTGACAATTAAACAAACATATCTCAGGCCTACTTTATCCAGGGAGTTGTTATTTAACTCCCTGCAGGAATGATTTCAAATCTGTTAAAAAAAATTATTCTGACCGAGATTTCGACAATTAAACAAACATATCTCAGGCCTACTTTATCCAGGGAGTTGTTATTTAACTCCCTGCTTTATCGATCGTTGTGCGAGATGCGAAGTACAAAAAACAATTTTTTTTCTTTGCCCTTTATCATTAACCCTCTATTAATGACTAAAAATCGATGTTTGCGACGATTGACTGATTTGGCT